GCTTCACAACAACTTCGTGACTGTTCTTGAATGGCCCAGCCAGAGCCCTGACTTAAACCCAATTGAGCATCTCTGGAGAGACCTGAAAATGGCTGTCCACCAACGTTTACCATCCAACCTGACAGAACTGGAGGGGATCTGCAAGGAGGAATGGCAGAGGATCCCCAAATGCAGGGTGAAAAACTTGTTGCATCATTCCCAAAAAGACTCATGGCTGTATTAGTTCAAAAGGGTGCTTCTACTAAATACTGAGCAAAGGGTCTGAATACTTATGACCATGTGATATTACAGTTTTTCTTTTTTAATAAATCTGCAGAAATGTCAAAAATTCTGTGTTTTTCTGTCAATATGGGGTGCTGTCTGTACATTAATGAGGAAAAAAAATGAACAAATGATTTTAGCATATGGCTGCAATATAACAAAGAATGAAAAATTTAAGGGGGTCTGAATACTTTCCGTACCCACTATATGTACCCCACATGATGATTGCAATTGCTTTGGGTTCCCCTGAACTCTTCCTGTAGCATCAGCATATGCTCAAATTTATTTCTCTTGTACTTTTAGTAACAAATTAGTAGCAAAACTAATAAAATTCTCATCAGTCATGTTAACAATGCTAATGTTAGCATTTTGTCCAAAGCACCATTTTCCCAGGTGCAGCCTTAAAGAGGTGCTAGTTTTGCTCTAGACATTTCCCAATTCACATTCAATTAATTTCACTCCCTCTCAGTGGTTATTCTCATGCCATTTTTCTAACCGGTGCAATTTTTTGTTAACTCCCAAATATCTAAGCAAATATTTTCCTCTTATATATGAGCTCAGTCTCAAACTGGTCATAGTTTTTATGTCGGTGCAAGTTATGCTTACCATCATATTGCTCTTTCATTGCACCCAGATGCTCCTCTGTTCTCTTTTTAGTGCCGTCGACATTTAGGTTGGTGCACGTTCTGAGTAACCGTCTCTCTTCAAGTCCATCAATCAGTTATTACTCTGTGTCATGGTGGTCTGATCTGCTTCTAATAACCATACTCTAAAGAAGTGGACAGCAGATAAACAATAGGAAGAACTTAATAGGATTCTTGTTTTCAGTTACATGCATTTTAAAATCAGTAATGAAAATACACAGACTAATACTTAGCCTGATCACTGCATTTTATTGAAGGCTTTGAAAAAAAGCAAAAAATGATAATTTCTTACTGAAACATAAGCAAATTCGTAACCCCAAAACATCACTCTACTGTGTGTTGTGTTCAAAACTCGTCACCCTTAACAAAATATGACTACAGAAATCTTCTACTGTTAAACTAGTTAGGAAATGAGTGTAGTAGTAAGAAAGTTTTTTTTTTTTCTGAGTTTCAAGAATAGGTAAGGCTGAAAGCATAAGGCCATAATTCTGACTGCTACTCAATTCTATCACAGTGTGAAAGAAGCTAATATCAGGATTATCTCCTCCCCAGGAAGGTTGACCAATGAGAGCAAAGACAACCATGTTAATCCAGACGAATAGATTATAACGGCAGTGAGTAGACCCACATTGTTTAACATCTCACTTTTTCCTCCGAATGTCAAATTACAACAAATACATTTTTATAGCATATTTCACATATGCCACATGTATTTCAATTATTAGAGCTTAAGTGCCAATACACAGCAATTTATTACTTTTCTTCATAATATAAGTTTGCTAAATTTCAAAATAATAACCTATGAGAAAAACAGGTCCTTCTGTCAAATCAAATATCAAATCTTCATCTCCACCATTATAAAGTCTTCAACGATAAATCAAATCAGAAAAAATGGCAGGGCAGCCGAGCACCTACACATAGCTTTTTCTAACAGTAATGTATTTTTACTTATAGAAAAAGTCACAGCGACTCAAAATGTGACTTTTTAACAGCCTCTTAGGCCAGAATTCATCAAATGAAACAGTGAAGACAGCTCAATGGCATGTTACCATTTTCAGTCAGTCCTTATATTGTACAAGATAGCACTGAGACGCTATAAATGGCAACAACTCAACATGAGGATCTCAGCGCAACTTCAGCACAATCCTGCTTACACTGCTCCAAGGTCTGATGTGTGAAGATGTACCATTAAGGAAAAGATGAAAAAAAATGTGAAAGTTTTTGGTTGTTAAAGTGCTCCGACACACCACCAATTAGCAGCAGTATGTATATACATAGAAATGTGGTTCAGCACTCCTACAAATAAACACTTAAAAAATAAAATAAAATAAAAATCACCCATTTTACAGTCAAAACTTCTTGACAAATCAAATCAGAAAGAAAGAAAAAACACTTCTCTCAGTAGTTTGACTTGACCTCTGGTTATGACAAAATATTTTTTTTTAAATGAAAGACATCAGCACTGTAAAAATAAACTAAAATTTAAAATATCATCATGCAGAATATCCATACTTTACATACATACAAAATTACATTTCTTTTTTTTCCTCTTATAGATTCTGTAAACACTGCGTTAGGTCCTTCAGGTTTGGTTTGTCCACATTTCAGCTACAATCTGTATGTTTTGCCATAGAAAATAGTCCTAGGCCCTTGCTCTGGCACCTGCAGATGATTTTTGCAGTATACCCCTTAACACCTCTGACTTCTATACAATCCATCCTATTTTCTACCCATTTCAAGGTAAAAACCACAGAAAGAGAAGAAACTAGATTAACTGAATGGAAGCTCTAGTGTGGTGATGTTTTTACCTGGGTGTTTCAAAGAATGTGACTGAACTTTGACATTTTAAAACACCCACAAAAGTATGTAAGGAATCTAGATACGAGAGAAAGGGGCAAAGGGGGTTTAGTTGAGGACAGTCGACAAGGCTAGGTCTGGATATAGATAAGGCATAGCACGGGTAGAGGGTGTCCACATGTTGGGCAGATTGTTAGCCTTTCCAGCACATTTTAAAATGGGGGAGAGGGTAGCATTAGGCAAAGATGTTTGTGTAAGGTAATGAAGATTGTAGATGTGATTCAGAAGCCTTGGAGGAACTCCTGGAGCTGCCTGACAAGCTCTGTGTCCACGCTCTCCATCAGGACCCCAAAGCCCTCGTCCCCCATCAGAGCCTGCTGCGCCTTCAGCTTCTCATAGACAAACTGCTGGAGAGAAACGCTGTGCACCGGGTCCTCCAGGGCCAACTGTATGGGGCAAAGTAAATGAAGAGGGGAAAAAAAAATCAAAAAGACAGGTTGTCACTTGAGGAAGTGTCTCCAAGATAGCTGTACGTGAAAGACCAGGGGTTACACAAAGATATTTTATTTACTGGAAATAAATGAGCTGCCCATATTCTCTCTCATGCACTGTCAGACATACCAGCATTCAAAGTATTTAATCAAAGTGAAATTTCCCTTTCACTGGTAGTACTGCACACTGAATCACAAATCAGATAAATTAAGGCATTTGTCGACGACCTAGATAAAACATTTTACACTGAATTTTTAGGGGGAAAAAAAGCTACAAAAGTGCATGAAAGAACATTCAGGTCATTAAGTAACAGAATTACACTGCTCAACAAAAAGTAAAAACACTACTCACTCTTTATTCTATCAATTAATGTTAAAAGTGGCAATATAACGTACCTGCAAGAGCAGTTGAAAAGGACTTTCATAAATAATATCCTCACTCTATTTTTGTTTGGCTTTGTCAAAAAAGTTTGTGAAAGAAAAAAAAGCAGCTCTCACACTTTACCATTTCCAACGTTGACGTATACATCCAACAAAAGTTGCACTAGAGAAGATAATTTAGTACATGCAGCTGCTGCCATTCATCTTACACTGAAGATAGCACTGGAAAAATAATCCTTGACAGTAGAGTGAAAAGCAAAAAAAAAGTTGGAGGGCTGACACATTTCTGTGGGCAAGAATATGTTATTTAATTTCTGCAGAGGCAAACAACAGTATGGAAAAATTTGAAAACCTGGACTCTGTTAGGAAATAAATTAGTGGGGCATGTAGGAACACCACTCCACAATCCACATGCAGTGTGGCCAGCTTAAAAAATATTTTTCTATATTACCCAGTATTTAAACAAGGTAATTATGATTTTTTAAAAACTGTATGTCGTATATCAGAATTTTACAGTGATACATTTTGTCAGTGTATGGTGTGTAAATGCAGCTTGATTTTGGCTCTTTCACTCGAGTTTGCTTTGATTTCCGCACAGATCAATTATTTTTATCACGTGATGTTGCTTGACCCTCCTCCAACCTTATGAAAGCAGGTCAGAGTAGTGAACTGAAGCAACACACGTTCCCTCAGTGACTGAACTTCCTTTATCATCCAACATTCACAAAGTCACAAACGTTTGGGCAAGCTTGTGTGCTCTTACTCGCACAGAGCCCAAAGATGTGAAAATAAAAATTCTGTGTCCTCTGAGAATCTGAATATTGTAATGACAACTCTTGTTCTCAAGCCAATCACTGGAAAGAATACTTGTCATGCTAATTAGTTTTTTGTCATTACAGTGCAATCAACTTAGTGAAGAGCGACTGTTGAAGAGTGGCTTCATGGAAAAGCTGTCATCTAACCTGCATAATTACCTTTAGCACAAGGACCTACTCAATGGGTGGGTGTGTTTCTGTATAGGACTATCCTCTACTGATGTGTGTATACACACCTCTTTATACTGTAGCAGTGTGCGCACATTTCATTTTGATATCAATGTTGTGATGACATTATAGCACAGTGAGGGCATTTGAACCAGTCCTCAACTACAAAGGGCTGATGGGGAGTTAAGACTTCAGCTGCATTTCCCAGGAACCAAGGCTCATGAACTGTCCCTGGGGTAAAAGACCCTCAGGCACATTGCGATGTGCATTTCCACAACAGGGCCAAAGCCTGGGGAAGTTCCTCTGGTGCAATCAGGGCTCATGATTTAAGATTTAAGGTTAGAATTAGGTTTAGCTTGGGTGTTAGGGACTTGGTTGCAATGGTTACTGTTGGTGTAAGGGGTTATGGAAAGCATTATATTATGGTATGCATCCTCACAGCTACAGTAAAACCAACAAGGTTTATTGTTGGGAGCTAAATATCAAAATGTTTCTCAGCATTTTTTGATCATTATGATCCTCTTAGACATCTAATTGTAAAAACATTCATGATACATGTCTGCACAAATCCCAGTAAATATAGATAATATCAGACTTTAGTTCTGGTCTAGTAGCAACACAGGCAATTAAAAGTCTGAAGGCACAGTGTGTAATGTGTCAACAACAATGTATCCAATTAAAGGGGACTATGTGCATCATATGTAACTGAATGACCCTCTGCACAATGAGAAGAGATTACAAATAAGTGCGTGCATGCCTGTGACAGCGTGTACAGGAATGAGCAGCTCTAAAAGCTAATGCAGAAGTGTAAATTGAAAAGGACAATACAAGAAGAACATGCAACAGATGACTATACAATTAAATCATGATTAACAGACTAAACAGGATTTTATGAGTACACGTGACCTTAAAAGCAAAATGTTTTAGACAGCTGATGACAGGGTGCTGAAATAAAGAGCAAGATGTTTTGTGCTGAGACTGCGCACAAAACAGCACTGATACAAACCAATCTGAAGAGTGGAAGCTACCAACAAGAATGATAACCATGATTTACTGTCATCTCTCTGGGAAAACAGACCCAGAGATGAAAAGATGAGAAGTAGAGGAGAAAGAACAAAAGAAGTACAAGGCAAGAAGTGGTGAGGATGTGACTGCTAAGCAGAGATAATAGGTGAGAGGGAGTTAAGAAAGAGGCAAAAAGGAAATGCAAATCTAACGAGGTAGGAGCATTGTCGTGCGAAACGAGAGGTTACCAGGAACTGGCCCGATGACGTTACAGCAGAGAATACCGTAAAGAAAGCAACGGACAAAAAAAAAAAAACCTGACGTGGGATGCAGAGAGAATGGCAATCACAGCTATCCGCTTTGTTCAAGAAAGAGAAGGGGAGTAAAGAGAGTGGGCAACATGAGAGGAGAGAGATGAAGAGAGACAGATGAAATGACAGGGCCTGTAAAAAACCTCATCTCTAGTCTAATCCCAAACTAATGCTGCCCTTTTACAAAGCAAACTAAATCAGTCCCATGTCATTACTGCAAAACCATCAGCCGGTGCCATGATTTTTAAACTGCTCCCACTAGTGAACACACATCTAGTACACAGACACACAAGTGTGCCAACAACTGAGATATGTTTAGCACCTAAGCTCTCTGAATGACAGGCCCACACAAAGGCAAGCACAGTGGTATTTAAAAGCAGCTACATGTAGATACTGTTTGCATGAGAAAATCTGGGATTAAGCTGTTGCTACAACTAAACAGGTGATCAAATGACAATTAAGAATCTAATTGCTAACCTCTCGACCTCTCCAGTAATTCTTTCATCGCTATTGGCTCTATTCAGTGGAAAAGCACATTTGCACTGTTGCAGGCAGTATCATAGGAAATTAATTGAGGCAGGCAGTTGCTAACTGGAGTTAATGATGCAACCTCTACTTTTTCAGCTTCTTCTCATATCCCATGGTGCCTGATATTTAGCTGCAAACACACTACTGTGCAGGAGAATGTGTGTGTGTGTGTGTGTGTGTGTGTATGTGTGTGTGTGTGAGAGAGAGAGAGAGAACAAACTCATTTTGGTGTAATTAAATGAACTGTGGCTGTATGATGTACGGTATTACAGTGTATACTAATAACTGCATTGTGTAAGCATGATGGTTTAGTGGATTACACTACAGGCAGATGTTAAATTCATCAGTGCATATATGATGACATCTGATACCACACAAAACTCTATACATGCACTAAGCACAAATCAGATGAGATCAATACTGCTCCAAAAGGCCAGAACAGTGTTGTTCTGGATTCTGATTTAATTCTTGTTAAAGACTCGTCTCTCTCTCTCACATACGTCAATTCACCAATAGCCTCACTGACTGTCCTATGTAAACTTTGCTGCTGTTACACATGGAAACCATGGTTACTATGGTGTCTGCACAGCCATTTCTCCAGTTTGACCTTACACAAAATAGATACATCGGGCTGGGCTTCTCTCTGACTCTTCTCTTGGGGCATGAGGTGGACCTTATTAATTAAGTCCCTCAGCTGTTGTAATGTTAATGTGGTACATAGCATGTTACAACTGCAGCAGCTTTACTTCACACTGAAAAAAATCTTTGCATGGGATAGCTAGCTCTTTTCAGGCTGAGAGAAACATTAAGTCCAGAAATAATTTCAAACACTTTTTATTTTGGTATACAATAAATAATTTTAAAAATTTTATTCTTCGGGTGAAAAGTGGGATAAAGGATAAAACTGCAATCACTTTACTGTCAATAAAATGCATTTGCTGAAACTGTTGATTAACATATCAGTTTATTTAAGCCTATTTAAAAAAAATAAGCCAAACGTGGAAAGAAAAAAGTAGTAGTTTAACACTTTAAAAGTTTGGACTGTCAGGGAAGATGACACGGGAGAGTAATGCGGGTGGATGTGTGAGGAAAAGATAAAAGCAACAGAAAGATGGGGAGGAGAAGAGGTCTAATGAAAAAATGTGTGTTTTGCCCTGTGGAATAGTGTAGCTACAACAACATACTAAGTAGAGGGAAACGAGGGAGAGGAAAAATGACCAAGGAATAAAGTGAACGGACAAAACTAATCTGCATGAAGATAAGGAGCACAACCAACCTGAAGGTGCAAAAACCAAATATTCCTGTCAAGGCAAAATTGCAGGTATAGAAAAGATGAGATGAGTGAAGGCTTGAGAAAAACAACAGACATAGGAGTGATGATCGGAGGAACTAACAGAAAGAGAGCGACATCCACCCTGCTGTGGCTTACTGATAAAGGAGTGGTGGTCTTCGTGTCTCAGAAAGAGTAGAAGATAAACGAGACAGGATCAAAACAAAGATACATATAAGAGGTTAAGAAAGTGGAGTAGATGAAGAGGGGGGGAAAGCAGCAAAGAGAGAACAGAGCAGTAGGTGAGATCTGCTTAGAAAATAAAATTTGTAATTAAAACGATGATAATGATGATGATGTGCACCCACAGCAGCAAACGTATGGCTGCTTTTACCTCACCTCTACCTATTTTTAGCACTTGTTCCATCTGTACTGACATTACTAAGATTGTCCGCAGGTAAGAAACGTTTTGGCACC